ACCTGGATTTTAGCGCAAGCTAGGAAGAGTATAGTAATTAGACTGTGATGGGAGATTTGGCTAAGAACGTATATACTTTTTTCACAATTTAATCATGTTAAACCGAATATAATGTTATGCCCATTTTGTAGGTTTCTTCCGCATTTCGATTATACTTCTCGTCTGCTTCACCATTAGAGAAATAGATGGAGATGCCGATAGGAGAGTGACGATCCGGGTCAGTGAAGATGTAGCTTGTCTCATCATAGTAGATGAGAAAGTGTCTGCCATGGTTTGACAGAGCATACTGACGAGCCACGCATAACACTAGTTGCATGCAGCATCGCACCCGCTGAAGCCAACTGACAGAAAAGCAAGATTCTGGAAACAGCGACATTTGAGCGGACAGGAAAGCAACGTAAACACACAGGAAGAAAGTCAGAAAATCGACCACGAGTGGCTTCCGCCTGGCACGTAATTAAATTGTAAATTAACGTAAGCTAGTTGAAGTCACACCTTTCGTTACAATCTCATCATATCTGACCACACTACACTAAAACTCAAGTCGTTCAAATATGCATCAGGAAAAATCCATGGCGCCAAAGAAGAGCTCGTCATCTGGAAAAGTCAGAGGACAACTGCTCGATCCTAGACTCTTTCCAAACGTTGCTTGGCATCTTAAGATGCAAGTTCATTGGTGAATTTGCTCCAGATTTAACAGTGCACTTCCAGAATATGAATTAAAGTATCCAAATAATGAAATGAATAAAATAAAAAATAAAATGATGCATTAAAACAAGATATTATTTTTAAGCTTCAACCCAAAACTGACAGGTGTCTAGATCCGTCTGAAGCTTCTTTCGAAGAACAATCATCATTTTGAAAAGCATTTTGGGCACTTTAAAAATTACTTTGTCAAAATCTGTCTGCATATCACGAACCATCTTTTGTGAACAGTAGGCAAATGCAGCCGTTGTCGGATCAGGAAAGTTTATATTCAGTTTCAACAGAAAATTCTTCCCTTCACCCTTCCGTGCAGGTATTACAAAAAGTAGCAGCATGTCGATCGTCTGCGATTGGGATGATCTTCTAATGTAGTGATGCAGCGCTTGTGAAACTCACTACTTCGAACTCTTGCGCACATATAAATCGTAGTTTTCAAACTTACTAGAAAATATTATTTCGAATGGAAAACTAAGGACCAAATTTAAGCTATTAATTAGCTGGAATTAACTTCTAATGATTACTGATTGCCTTCAGCAAGAACATGTGCGTGCATTGCGTATCGCTTCATTGAAACCAAATATCGCTTGCTACCTGCTTCACAGTGCTTTTTGTGATCAAATCAACGACTGTGACACTTACCGTTCGTTTTATGCTTCATCGAGCTTCAATAAAAGAACGTTTGTTTCCGTGTCGGCAGGCTTTAATATTCTGAAAAGTCTAAGGGAAGGAATGTCTGAAGATTCAGTAAACTATGCAAGCGCAATCGATGAATTTCAAGCACAATCTGAATATGTTATACCAATGTTAGCATAACGAAACCTCATCTTATTTCATTTCTTCGATTCTCTTTACCGCCTTCAATTTTTCCTGCATCTCTGTTATTACCTGAAATTGTTCACTCTTTCTAGAATGTCTTCTAAGCAGAATTTTATTGTAAATCTAGAATCAAGCAGAACGTTTTCGTGTTTTACAAAACGCAATGAAACCTATGTGGAATATATTTAAATCAATAAATAACAGAATTGAGTATCCCAATATGGAAGCCATTTTTTAGCGTAGTACATCGTCGTTTATCGAACAAGTACCAGCTTTAATGGTTTAAATATTCTTCAGGTAAAAGTTGCTTTTGATTTATAATAAGGTTGCGGCTCACATGCAATTGCTATCCGAAAAAGAAGACTGACTTGTTTATGAATGTGAATGAATACGTCAATGATGCATGAAATGCAACAGTAGAGCGGCAAAGAGCGAAACCGTAAGGTATCGGTAAATCATTTTGCTACAGTGGAAGAAAATTTACAGTTTGAATGAACGTTTTCGGCTCATTCTCTGCTGATGCTTCATCAAGAGGTTTTCTATGACAGAAACACTTACAAGAAGCAAACTTGTCAGCAACAAACGACGTCTGCTGAAAGTGAATTCCGGTATCAGCTTAAGACGGTAGATTTTTGAGGACATCTTGCTTAATCTGGTTTGGTTCAATTAGTAAATTTCCTTTGTTTCTGTTGTTAAG